ACCAGGGACACTAGGTCCAAGTGGCCACGATCGCCCCTTGGCCGATCACGGACTTCTGCCAATGCCTAGCGCTGGAGGGCGGAGGGCGGGGTTTGGAGGTTCAGCAGGTGAGCTCCTCAGGGCCAGCGGTTCTCCACTCTTTCCTTAGGACCTGTCCTTGCTAGCGCCGCGTCCACTTGTACATAGTCAGCAGGCTCATGGAATTTCCAACACACCAATGCGTAGCCAGGGTTTTGGCCCCGTTTTCAGTTGAGGGAACACAGGGTTAAAATGTTTATGATTTGCCCAAAACCACACTGCTGGGGTTTGAATCCAAACATGGCAATCTTGAGAAACTCACCTTGATAGCCTGGAAACTTGTCTCTTGTATTCAACTAGCAAAGGCTGGGAAATCTTTTCAGCCTCCACTCTTTTTATATTTTCTCCCACTTTTCATCCCACAGATTAGCAGATACAGTGGGCCCCACCTGCAGAATGGATAACAAACGCATCATCTCCTGTACCTAGATCTCATCCTGCCGGCCCCTTGTCTATTTCCCTTCAGGTGCCCTAGGGGATCATGGTAAAATATAGGTAATATCGGAGGGAGGGAGGGAGGAAGGGAGAGGGAACTGGGGTCGGTATGTAAAATAAGATAAAATAATAAATATATATAAAAATATAGGTAATAAGAGTAGAGGAGACAGCCCAGTGGATTAGATGCTTGTTTGCTGTGCAAGCTTTAGGACCTGAGTTCAATACTCAGTGCCTCCTAAAAAGCTGGACATAGTAGTGGGAGTTTGTAATCTCACCCTGAAAAGGCATACAGGAAGATCCCTGAGGATCTCACTGTGTAGACCTGGACAGTTTGGAATAGGCCTTGTAGACCAGGCTGGCCTCAAGGGCCAGCACTCCAGGGGTAGAGGCAGGTGGATCTCTGTGAGTTCAAGGTCAACCTGATCCACAGAGCTAGTTCCAGGACAGTTAGGGCTGTTACACAAGAAACACTGTCTCAAAAAAAAAAAAAAAAAAAAAAAAAAGAAAAAGAAAAAAAAACTGTGTAAGCCTACCAAGTGCTGAGATACAGGAGCCCACCACAGTCTTTTGTTTTTTGTTTTAATAATCTCTGCTTCTTTTCCTCTGAGAGCTTTTAAGAATATTTTAAACCTTTTTTTTTTTTTAATATTTTGACTCGGCTGTATCTGTGAAATATTCTTGAATTTGTGATATTTGATTTCTCCCTAACTCCCCCTCAGTCACGTTTAATCTGTTGTTTAACTCATCATTTGGACTTCAATTTTTGTTCCATTGCTTTGTTTTTTAATTTTGGGATACAACTTCAGTTGGACTGAAAGTAACCTATCGATTAGTCCGGCCTCAAACTAGCAGTAACCCCCTGCCATTATAACTGTCTGCCATTTGAAATTGTGTGTTTTTATTCTAAAATATCTGGTAGATTTTCTTCATATCATTGCCACTTAGTGAAATTTCCTCTTACTCTTGCAATAGTTCCTAGCTTACTGTTCATCCATTTACACACAGTAACACATTTGTTTCTGTGCCAGATGACAGTTGAGTGCTGAGTGTCTGTGTCTGAGGTTTGCCTTGTTTTTCTACTGTGGACCATGTAGATTTTTGTATAATGGTGTCCCCATCAGCCCTGACATCATCTGCAAAAATTAGTTGGTGGGGGGGATGCAATCCTCATTTTTTTCTGGCCTTAGACTTCTTCCTTTAAGGGGCAAGCTGGCATTCACTTTGGATGCCTATGAAATCAGTGTGTAGACTGAAACCCAAATTCCCAATCAGGGCAACATTTCCATGTCGGTGTGACCCCAAACAGGAGATTCCCTACCTCTGGGTCTCAGTTTCTTCCTACTATTGTAAGAATCTATATAAATTACCAGTTATTGATATGTATCACATTATATTACCCCAAAGTTAGCTAAAATACAGTAGACAGGGCCTGGCATGGTGGCACACACCTTTAACCCCAGCACTTGGGAAGTAGAGGCAGATGGACCTCTGTAATTTCTAGGCCAGCCGGGTCTACAACTCAAGTTCCAGGACCACAGCTGCTATACAGAGACTCCCTGTCTTGAAAAACTAAAAACAGTAGACAGAACATGGTGGCACACAATTGTGATCCCAGGACTCTGGAGGTGGAGGCAAGAAGATCACAGACTTAGAGCCAATTTGAGCTACTTATTTTGACACTGTCTCAAACAAACACCCAACAATAAACATTTCTTTCGGAGGGTCAGGAACAGAGAACCACTTCTTGGGTGGTTCTGGCTAGATCTTGGACTGAGATTTGATTGGGGCTACAGACTGCTTTGCAGGCAAACCCCATTCCTCGTGAGCATGAGCCTGTGTACACACAGAAGTCTCCACAGGGCTAATTACTTGCCTTCATCAAATGGCAGCTGGCTGTCCCCAGTGCAGTGTCCCAGGAGAGAGAGGCAGAAGCAAACCCAGAGCCTCATGAATGCCTTGTAGGAAAGCACTTATAGCCAAGCTATATTTTCTCCTTCCATCCCTCCCTTCTTTCCTCCTATTAGTCCCCATGTTATGTTTTGGGGCTTTTTTGTTTGTTTGTTTTTGTTTTTTGAGACAGGGTTTCTCTGTGTAGCTTTAGAGCTGTCCTGGAACTAGCTCTGTAGACCAAGTTGGACTCAAACTCACCATGTTATGTTTTTTTTTTTTTTTTTTTTTTTTTTTTTTAAGACAGAGTCTGAGCTAGGATGATGACTCGGTAGTTAAGAGAGCTTATAGAAAAAGAATTCTGTTCTAGGCATCCACCTTAGGCAACTCACAACTGTTAGTGATTCCAGTTCCAAGGGATCCTACTCCCTCTCTGGCCTCCATGGGTTCCTGCATGCCTGTATACACATGCACACACACACACACACACACACACATAAAATAAAGCACATACACACAGAAATAAAAGTAAATGTGGTGATGTATTATTTATGATTTATTAAAGCTTGCCTGAAGATTCAGAAAGCAAATTCAGCCTTGAGCTATAGAGATTAAAGGTACACACTCAGGATTAAGAGGTAGACTGAGTGCAAGGTCACCGAGCTATCCAAGATTGATCCAGTCCTAAAGAGAAACAGCTCACACAAAGATGATCTCAGCACCTGGGATCACACACCTTTAATCCTAGCACTAGGGAGGTATATAAGACAGGAGCAAGATCTTGGAGCTGGCATTCATTCTCCAGCCACATTCAAGATAGGAAGACATTGAAGTCTCAGGATTCTCCAGTCATGATGAGGAGCCAGACTGGGATTTCCGTCAGGTTTGGTGGAGCCAGGGTCACCTTTTAGCCTCAGCTAGAGGTAAGAGTTTGTGGCTGGCTGCTTTACTTTTCTGATCTTCAGCTTGAAGCTTGAACCCCAACATCAGTCTCTGTGTCTTTTATTAATCATGTTACAGTAAATCTTAAAGACAGGGTTTTACTATGCAGCCTTACCCAGCCTGGAACACACTATGTATTTCAGTTAACCTCAAAGTCATAGGAATTCTTCTGCCTCTCTCTGTTGGGATTATGATCATATAATATCACATGTGGCTCCAATATGCATATACATACATACATACATATGTGTGTGTGTTTATAGAAATATATTTTTATTATTAGCCACACAGTTTCTGCTCCTCCCATCAATAACAAATCTGTTTTTGTGCCTTCCACACTAAGCCGTGTGACATGAACATCGTGGGCACCAGACTTCCTTATGTTTTGAAACCGGGAGACCATCACATGGCATGATGGCTGAGCCTGTGAAGGATTCTCAGAGCCTGTATAAGATGTTGGCTGTAGAATCATTTGGTGCCCACATACTTCCTTCAGACTAATGCCAGGGAGAAGCCATAGGACCATTCTGGGAGTGTGGGGAACAATTAGACACACTTTCTGGAGCTGCGGAAACAGCATATGCTTCCTGCAAGGTGATGATGCCAGATCCTGCTTGTTTTGAATACTTTCTTGGTACTGGGGAGATGGCTCAGGGCTGAAAGTGTTTGTTCACTGTGAGGACCCTCATGCACATCCCCAGAACCCACACAAATGTCTTGGAATATAGAGACAGGATCCCATAGCAAGCTGGCTGACAAGACTAGCCATATCAGGGAGATCAGGGTTTACTTGAGAGACCCTACTCAGCCAGGCTGTGGTGGTGCACGCCTTTATTCCCAACAACACTTAGAAGGCAGAGGCAGGTGGATCTCTGAGTTCAAGGCCAGCCTGGTCTACAGAGTGAATTCCAGGATGGCAAGAGCTACACCAAGAAACCCTGTCTTGAAAAGCAAGACAAGCAAAGAAAAAACTGTGATTCGAGATGTCTACCTCCAGCCCCTGCATGTATAGGCATGCGTATGTACATCACACACACACACACACACACACACACACACACACACGTTCCTTCACCTTCCAAGATGAAAAGCCTGAGGTATATATTGGCTAAGAAATTTGTTGAGGACCCAACAGTTGGTGTGTTCTGGATTTGGGGCAGCCTGACTCTCAAGTACTGAGTTCTTAAGACCTACAATGCCACTTTTCTTTGTGTAATGTGACACGGTGCCAGCTGCCTCCATGGAAAACAGCCAAGGACTGAAGGAGTGAAGAAAGCAGACATCCTGCCAACATCTGGGAGAGCCAGGTTGACCTGCCCTAAAACCACCCTGGTCACTGACCCATCTTTATGCAAAATGTTACCTCCTGTTTAAGCTGACCCCTCCCATTGGGCTGAGGATGGAACGAACCCACACCCCATTAGCATGTCAGACGTGCCCTTACATCTGAGCTACACCTGCCCTCAGCTTGGAAAGCTCCCCACATGACACCAGAGGTTTCTAGAAGAAACATGGGCAGGAATATCAGCAGGGAATCTTATCACAAACCACGTGGTTGGGGTTGAGATGTATCTGGCTTTTGTGTTGGGGCCAGTGTTGAAGGCAGGGAAAATCACAAAGGATGTTAGAAGGTAGAACTCTAGCACATAGAACTTATTCACAGTTCTCTTTTATTAGGCACATAGTGAAAATACCTATCAACTCAACAAAACCACATACTGACAGTGGGCCTGGGTACCGAGTCCCCAGGACAGGGTCTGAGACTTTCTCTGGCAGTAGTCCGTCCCTATCTTGTCCTTTCCTCTCCAACCGTGGGGCTCCAGTTAGAGGCCACGACGCTGGAGGTGGATGCTTGCTTCTTTGATGGAGTCTCATCCTTTTGGCTTGAATCTTGGGCCAAGCCTTCAAGCAGGCTTTCCTGCCTAGGGGGCAGATCCTGGTAGCAGGATTCCAGCCTGGCCTGACTTGTGGTCCTGAGGCACAGGGTGAGTGAGGCCTTTGGTCTTTGGCACAAAAGATGCTCCCTTTGTTTAAAGTGCAAGATACAAGGCATCTGGGGCACCAATGATGGGGACTGTCCTGTGAACAGAAGCCTAGTCCCAGCCCAGAGAAGGCCAACCCTGGTATGAAATGTGGCCAGGGCAGATGCTGGCCTGGGAGTATATGACACTGTGGCAACTCAGCCAGCAAGGTATCCTCTACTCCACCCCAGCTCTTTGCTGTTCATAGCACCTATAACAGGGCTTGGCACTAAGGGAGCATCACCCCAAAATGCCTGTAAGAGAGCATGGAATGCATGAGGCACAGTGGCTGTTTCTTCCTCCTGAAAGGCACTTAAGGGTTAGCTTGGCCCAAAGAGACAGGAGAAAGCTTGGAGGCAGGTACTCGATTCACAGCTTGCAACTGAGGGGCCAGTAGGGTGGCCCTAGCCATACAGTCCCATGTCCCCTTCCTCAGTCTCCTCCAATCCTGGTCCATCTGGGACCACCTGGTCAGTCTCCCGGCAGCCTGACTGTAGAGGGGTGACAAGGATGTGGTCCTCCTTCAACCACGGATGCAGAAGGATGCCTGGGGCCACTAGACGCTGTGAAGGTTCCTTGCGAAGGAGACAGCGGATCAGGCATCGGGCTGGGGCTGATAGACCTTCAGGCAGGGCAAAGGTCCCTCTACGGATCTTGCCAAAGAGCAAAGCTGGCTCAGAGTCCTGGAATGGGTAGTGACCAGCCAGCATAGTGAACAGTGCCACACCCAGGCTCCAGACATCAGCTGCTTTGCCAGAGTAGGAGGGCTTGGAACTGAGTATCTCTGGCCCCACGTAGGCAGGGCATGCATGCTTGTCCCACAGAGAGTCATCTGGTCCAGTCATCACACAAGCATCCTCCAGGTTCTCCAGCACCAGCTTTGTCCTGGGTCACAGACAGAAAGATCAGGTCTTTCTTAAGTCCTCTGGAATAGAAGTCACCAAACAATCTCTCCAGTCCCTGTCTTTGTTTTTTAATCAGGGTTTTCTTTGGGGGGTATTTTTTGGAGATAAGATTTCACTACATTGTCCTGGCTAACTTCTAACTTACTAACTTACTAACCTCCTAAGTGCTGGGTTTATAGCAATGGGCTGTCATGCTGAGCCACAATGTCTTAGTAATTTTGTTTGTTTGTTTGTCTTCAATGGGTCTCTGTGTAGCCCTGGCTGTCCTGAAACTCACTCTGCAGACCAAGATGGCCTTGAATTCAGAGACCCTTCTGCCTCTCCCTCTGGAGTGCTGGGATTAAAGGTGTGTACCAGGCTGGCCTCGAACCTACAGAGATTTGCCTGCCCTCCACCCCAAGGGGCTTCCATAGCACTGAGTCAAATTTGACAAAGAAACTAGAGAACTAGATTGTGAATGCTAAGTTCTATCCCTTTCCTCTTTTTAGTTTTTATTTTATTTTTGTAATTTTCAAAATGTGTGATTTGTGTGTACTGTATGTGTGTAGGGGCAAGGGTGTGCCCATTTGGAGGCCAGAGGTCAATTTTAGGTGTCTTCCTTGATCTTTCTCCATTTCTTTTCATTCTTTTTTTGTTTTTTTGAGACAGGGTTTCTTTGTGTAACAGTCCTAGCTGTCCTGGAACTCACTCTACAGACCAAGATGGCCTTGAATTCAGAGACCCTTCTGCCTCTACCTCTGGAGTGCTGGGATTAAAGGTGTGTACCACCACTGCCCAGCTTCTTTCTTTAAAAAAAAAAAAAAAAAAAAAAAAAAAAATATATATATATATATATATATATATATATATTACTTTTTATTCTGAGTGGATGTTTTCCTGTGTGTGTGTATGTCTGGGGACCATGAACATGCAGTGCCCACAATGGCCAAAAGAGGTTGTCAGCTCCCCTGGAATTGTAGCTAGAGATCATGGTTGTTAGCACCGTGTGGGTGCTGGGAACTGATCCTGGGTCCTCTGCAAGAGCAAAAGCATTTTAACCTTTGAATCATCCCTCCAACCCTCCCCTCCCCCAATACACAACGTGTGTGCGAGTGCACGCGCAAGTGTGTGTGTGAGACAGGATCTCACTGGCATGGAATTCACTATGTATGCTAGGCTGACCTCCAGCTCGCTGAGATCCACCCATCTCTGCCTCTACCAGGATTTAAAGGTGTGTGCTAGCACCCTCCAGCAATTCCTTTGTTCCTTACTTAACTTGAGATGGAGTCTCTCATAAACTAGAAGCTCACCAATTAGATAGGCTAGCTGGTCAGAGATCTATGGGGATCTGCCTGTCTCTGTCCCTCTCCCCCATGCTCAGCATTAGGGTTACAGACTCCACACCACAGGCCACTGTCACTCAGTGCTGGGGATTTCTTTTCCTGTCTATTTTTTTGCTGCCTAGAATGGAATCTAGAGATTTGCAAGTATTAAGCTGGTGTTTTACCACTGTGCTACACCTTAGCTCTTCCTGCCTGTTACTCTGCCCTCGTGGATCTTAGCTTCCCTGCCGTGGCCCACTTCTCAAATGTACCTCTGGGGTCACACTTACCTCTCACAATTGCTGAAGACAAAGCGACGCAGTTTGAGGTCACGCAAGACAAGCCCATGTTGGTGGCAGTGTGCCACCATAGCAGCCATCTGCCGGAAAAGCACAATAGCCTCAGGCTCAGGGATACCACGGCGGCTGCGCACCAGACTGTGCAAGTCTCCATGGGTCTTCGAGAAGAAGATGTAGAGGAACTGAGAGCCCAGCAGGATGTCTGCAGGACGGGCCACATGCTGATGGGTAGGCAGCTGTTCATAGGGTGCCAGCACCTCCTGGGCCTCACAGGCCGGGTACACCTGGGGACAGAGCCAGGTATAAGCACAGCTAGGGACCTGGGAAGCCAGGATGGCCTAGCAAAGGGGCACGGATAGCCAACCATTAGACACACTGTGAACTACACACATAGGGGGCCTTGCTTAGCAAGTCACTCATAGTCTGACATCAGCCAACACTCCACAGGCCATGGGTCAGGAGGTCTGGGGCCACAAGGCCAGCAAGTAGCACATTTGGACTAGAGCTGGTGCACCCATCTCTGTGCTCTAAACTGCCACCCTGTGTGTGACCTTAGACCTCAAAGAAGTGAAACTAGGGTGTAAACCAAATAGACAGACACTCCTAGGGGCAGGCCACCACCAAAGCCTCCTTACAGTCACTTGTCCACAGTGCAGCACATGGAAGCCCACAGACCACATCTTCCAAAGGAACCAAGAAGATGCTAGAATCCAGAATACTTTGTTTTTCAGTCTTGAAGATCAAACCCAGGGCCAGTCTTTGATGGACAAGTATTTTGGAAGGGAGTGCTTATTTTATAAAGTTCCAGCCTGCCGTGGCGATACATGTCTTTAATCTTAGCACTCAGGAGGCAGAGCCGGGTGGATCTCCGTGAGTTTGAGGCCAGCCTGATCTACAAAGTTCCAGGCTAGCCAGAGCTACACAGTGAGACTGTGACCAAAACAAAAAACAAAAACAAAAAAATCCCAAAAAAGGTGGACTCCACATGACTCAGAAGAGACCTGAATAATCCAAATACAGTCATGGGGAAAACTTCCCATGGGGCATTTGGGAACTGTGCTCAGAGTTTGTTCGCATTAAGCACACACCTGGAAGGTGGTTCCAGTATAATGGAGAATGAAACTGAAGTTCAGACTAAGGGAGGTTACTTGTGCAAAGCCACACTAGAACCTGTTAGAAGCTGCTAATGCAGAGCTGATAGACCACTTTGTTGTGTTTGACTGTAATATATTTATTCTATGAAAAATGTAAAGCATATGATTTTTAAAAAAAAAAAAGTGTGGGGGGGCTAGAGAGATGAGTCAGTGGTCAAGAGCACTGATTGCTCTTCTAGAGGACCCAGGTTCAAGTCCCAACACCCACACAGTAGCTCACAGCTACCTTTTGTTTTGAAACAGAGTTTCTCTGTGTAACAATCAAAGCTGCCGTCGAACTCACTGAAATCCTCCTGCCTCTGCCTTCTGAGTGTGCCACCACTGCCCAGCTCACAACTGTCTCTTAACCCCAGTTCCAGGAGATCCAGACATACACACAAGCAAAATACCCATACATATAAAATAATAAAAATAATTTTAAAAATAGCTAGGACAGCATGGAGGAAATAAATACACATACTCCTTTTTCTTTCTCCCCCAAAGCCTGGTCCTGCCTAATACCTTTGTATCTATTTTTTTAGGGAGGGGTAAGCTTTTTGAGACATCTTTCTATGTCTCCCTGGCTGTCCTGGAACTCACTATGTAGGCTGGCCTCGAACTCTCAGAGATACACTTGCCTCTGCCTCTCAAGTGTTCTGATTATAGATGTGTTGTCAGGCTTGGCCCCTCCTCCCCATGCCTCCTTCAACTTCTGACATGCACTGTCTTTTGTTATCAGGAAGACCTTCCCAGACTTCCGGATGTTCCCCTGCACTCCTACATGTCTGCCTCCTCCTCTCTTTGCTTCTTGATCCCCACTGGCACCAGCTTTATTCCCATGATGCTCACCACTGCCTGTTCTCTTCTGGTGTGTGCACCTGTGGGAGCCCGAGGAAAACCTCTAGTGTCATTCCTCAGGTGACATGCAATTTTTTTTTCTTGAAATTTATTTTCAATAGTGTGTGTGTCTGTGTGTGTGGGGGGGGGGGAGTCTGTGTATGTGCAGATGCCCGAGGAAGCCAGAAGCCCTGGATTTCCCGGGAGCTGGAGTTGTATAGGGGGTGGTGATTTGCCTCAGGTAGATGCTAGGAACAGAACTTGGTCTCTGCAAGAGTTACAAACACTCTTAACCACTGAACCATGTCTCTAGCCCTTTTATTCATTCTCTCTCCTGTCTACCTGAGATAGTCTCTCAGTGACCTCAGCCAAATAGGTTAGCTGGCTGACCAGTGAGCTCTGGAGGTCTGCCTGTCTTCACCTTCTCAGTGCAGGAGTATAAGTGTGCTCTCTCTCCATCCCTCCCCCTCACGCTCCCTCTAGCTCCCCCTCCCCTCAATTCTGAGGTTCACCAACTGAGCTGTCCCCCAGCCTTGTGCTCATATCTTTACACCTCTCCATGCCTCTCACTAGAATGTCAGTTTGATAGCAGGAGCACTGGGACTAGGTTTGTTTTGGTTTTGAAACAGGTTCTCAGTATGTACCCCAGGCTTGCCTGAAATTTGAGGCAATCCTCCTGTCTCGACCTCTCCAGTGTTGGGATTACAGACATGTGCCACCACACCCTGCTTGGGTCTGTTTTTTTTGGACACAGTAGGTACACTGCATGTACTATGCTCTATGAAGTTTTGTCAGTTGAGGAGCCCAGTGATAATCTGCAAAACCAGAACCCTGCCATCCTCTGGGTCCCAGTCCTTTTGCAGGGTCCTGGGATGCTAGAGGGGAGAGCCCATAGACCATACCTTGCAGGTGTACTCTGTGCCTGTGGGACAATGCAGGGCCCGGTAAGTGCGGCTGCCTTGCTCTTGTTCCAAGAGGACATAAGGTCCCAGCCGGGTTGCAGGGGCCACAGCCGGTGACAACTCTGAGGCAGGAGGTGGACTCAGGGATAGCAGGCAGGGGGGTGGCCCAGGCTCGGGTCCTCTCACTCGTTTTAGGACTGTACATTCGGCGTCAATGTTGTCATTGAACTCCAACGGTTTCTTCTGGCGAGGGACACCAGTAGAAGCAGCCAGAGGGGTGGCTCGCATCTAGAGAGAAGGGAAGAATGACTGGTAGTCCCCATCTTCCCTGCTAGGACCCTCTGGACAGAGATAATCATCACTGTGGGTTTTCCGAAGCTCCCTAGGCATGGCGCTCTCAAATGCAAGGACAGCTGGGGAGGGAAGGAACCCGCTACGAATGAAAGACTTAATAATAATAATGCAATAAGGAAAGCTGGTCATACGGACACACCCATACACTGCCAGCATCGGAGAAGCAAAGGCAGGAGGGTGGCGAGTTCCTGGCCTGCCTGGGCTGCATAATAAGCCTACTGTAACCTCTCAGTTCCAGGGCGCTCCCAGACGCTGGAGTTAGAGAGCGAGAAAGCGAGAGTGACAGAGAACGAAAGAAAGAGTCAGGAGAAAATATACATGAATACTCATAAATATGTCGGGACTCCCAATATCCTTGCCACACTCAGCGAAACACCGCCCCCCCCCATTTGCAATTCCCCACCGGGTACCTTGACCTAGGGTTCCTCACGGCTCTCAGAGCCGCCTGCGCACGTGCACCGCAGCTCACTTCACCCAGCGGATCTCCGCCAGACCTCAGCCTCCGAGTATTCAGCAGTGGTGGCTTCCGCTGCTAAAGTGGTGCGGCACGGGGACACGGGCTCCCATCCTCGCCTGGCTGATGTAAACCTGAGCTAATCTCCGGCTGACGCCCTGCGGCACTGGATTGCACCATCCATGACCCGCCCCTGTAGCCGAGCGCGCTCCGCCTGCGCCTTCGGGGCCACTCGCCCCCCCCACCCCCGCTTAGCCCCCGAAGTAGTCCCCGAAACCACCAACTCTCCTTACCGTAGTTCTTTGCACCTATTTCCCTATCTATGAAATGGGAATGAGATCCTAGTGAAAAAAAAAAAAAAAATCGCGTGCTACCTACCAAGCTCCTAGCTTGACCTGGGCTAAAAGCCCCATGTTCTGAATCCTGGGAACCTCCATTCCAAAACAACCTTATCAAGGGTGCACCCGCTCTACTCAGACTAGTAGTGCAGTTCAGAAAAGCCACTTAGCGCCCTGGCTGGCTGGGGATGTGTGGTTGTGAGAGCACACGCAGAAGGCCTTGCTCTGTAACAAAACCAAAAACAACCAAAGAAAACACAGCGTCAGTTACCGTCTCCATAAAAAAAAAAAAAAAAAAAAAAAAAAAAATGGGACGGAGCTCACTTCATACATATAGTTGCTGTGAGCGGTGGTAAGTTCGTGAATTCAAAACGCTTAGACCAGCTGGGTGTGTTACACACCTAGAACCTCAGTTACTCGAAAGCCTGAGGCAGGAGGATGGTCTGTTTACCGGTGTAGCTCTAGCTTGCCTGGAATTCACTCTGTTGACCAGGCTGAACTCGAAATCATAGAGATGCACCTGCCTCTGTCCCCAGTACTAGAACTAAAGGCCTTCTTCAAGCTAAAAGAAATTTAAGGGTGGAAATGGGGGAGGGCAGGAGGGCTGTAGCTCAGCCACAGCACTTTTGTCTAGCATGCACGCACAAGGCAGTGAGTTCAATTCCCTATAACACCAAACAAAATGTAGAATAGTTAGCCAGGTGTACTCCTTAAATCCCAGCACTTAGGAGGGAGAGGCAGGCCACTCTCTGTGAGTTCCAGGCCAACCTGGTCCACAGAGTGAGTTCCAGGACAGACAGAGCTACACAGAGAAACCCTTGGAAAACAACAACAACAAAACTTGGGGCTGGGGAGATGGCTCACAGGTTAAGAGCACTGGCTGCTCTTCCGGGTTCAATGGCCAGCACCCACATGGCAGCTCACACCTGTCTATAACTGTAGTTCCAGAGGATCCAGCACCCTCACACAGACATACATACAGGCAAAACACCAATGAACACAAAATAATAAAAACAAAACAATAAACAGCAACAAAACGAAACGTAGAGTGGTGTGTGGGACAGGAAGGCACTCAGTAAATGGGATGTTGCCACTGGACACCGGAGGTGGAAGGATGTAACAAGATGCAGCCACAGCTGAAGCTAGACATGGCGGTGACACCTGCCCCCACTCAGCCACCCTGGCAAAGCCCCAAAGGCCCAGTGCTCCTATCAAAGAAGGAAAAAAGAAAAAAAATCCCTCCAGGAAGAGCTAGAGGGAGGCAGGCCAGGACATCTTTGTCTCTCTAGTTCTGGAAGTCAGAGAACCAGCTCTCTTGTGTCTCCCTCCCCCAAATCCACATACAGTAGAGGATTCTGGGATCTAATTTGATTCTGTCCATCCGGAAGCTGGAGAGGGATAAATGAACTTATTTTCAGAGCCCAAGACAGGCCGAAGACCCCAGGGCTGTGAGAGACGAAGGGTGGGATGGCTGTTTTCTGTGCACCCACGTAGCATCAGGCCTGAGCTAGTGCTTGCTGGCTCTGCCGGCCCTTGTTCAAATGCTATGGACTCAAGGTAACTAACTACACTTGCCATTCTGGCTCACAGACCTTATAAATAACAAACAATAATAATAACCACAGTAATTTAAAGTAGATCACAGTGCTGGGTGATGGTGGTACACAGCATTAGTCCCAGCACTTGGGAGGCAAGGCCAGTCTGGTCCACAGAGTGAGTTCCAGGACAGCTAAGGCTACACAGTGAAACCCTCTCTCAACAAACAAACAAACAAACAAAAAACAAAATACAAACAAAAAGCCCAACAAACTTTTCAAGATGTGATATTGCCAGGGTAACCCCAGCAGGAGTGGAGGTGGTAGCTCAAAGTCATCTCCTGCTACGTTGCAAGTTTGAAGCTACATAGACCCTGCCTGTCTCAAAAACTTTAAATTTTTTTTTTTCAAGACAGGGTTTCTCTGTGTAGCTCTGTGGAGCCTGTCCTGGAACTCCCTCTGTAGACCAGGCTGGTCTTGAACTCATAGAGATCTGCCTGCCTCTGCCTCCCGAGTGCTGGGATTAAAAAGAAATTCACTTTATTCATCTATCATATTTAGTATAGCCTGAACATGTTATCTCAACAAATAATCAACAAAATTGCCAGCAGCATTAAACTCTCTCAGAGTCTGTTTTATTGTTTTCGCTTTTGTTTTGCTTTTGTTTTATATTTTGTATGGTTTGGGTTTTGTTGTTGTGTTGTTGAGATAGAGTTATATAGCAGAAGTTGGCCTTGGATTTCTGATCCCCCTGCCTCTGCCTCCAATGCTCTGATGACAAGTGTGTACCACATGTCACCTTACTGTAAGCACTATGTCAGCCTCCATCTTTTTTTTTTTTCATATGTTGAGATAGGATCTTTTACCCCCTTTTTTCACTTTTTAATTTATTCCTTACATTCCAATCGCAGTTCCCCCTCCCTCCTCTTTTCCCGCTCCCCCTCCTCCCTTTTGCTCCTTGGAGAGGGTAAGGCCTCCCTAGGAAGTCTACTAAGTCTGTCCCATCATCTAGTTGAGGCAGGACCAAGGCACCTCTCCACCCCCACACCTGTGTCTAGGCTGAGCAAGGTATCAAGATAGGATCGTACGTAGCCTCTTCAGTCTTCAAATTCACAGTTCTGCCAAGGCTGGCCTGGAACTCTTGACCCTCCTGCCTTATTTTTACACGCTGAAATTACATGTGCATGCCACCATACTTGGCCTGATTCAAAGGTCTCATTGTATAACTAGGCTGGTGTCTAACTCTCTGGAGTGCTGAGATTACTGGCATACAGCACCAACCCCCAGTTCTCCTGTATGGTTTACACCTCTTTTGAATCCAAAGGATCATGGGAACTAAGCTATTAATGGTTCTGCCAGGTATGGTGGCCCATGCCTGTGATACCAGGCTTTAGGAGGCTAAGACAGGAGGATTGTCATAACATAAATTCAGCCTAGCCTATTGAGTGAGTCCTTATCTCAACAAACAAAACAAATTTGTGGGCTGGCAAGATAGCTCAGTGTGCAAAAGGTGCCTGTCACCAAGGCTGACAACATGAGTCGGATCCTCAAAACCCATCTGATGAAAACAGAAGTCATCCAACTTCTTCAGCAAACTGTGGCACACACATACCCACAGAGAAGAAATCTATAAATGTACAACATACATGAAAGCTGATGAGTTTTCTGAAAAATAAGAGGAGGTTGGAATAGGTCACTGTATTCTCTGTCCGGTGCTAGCACAGCATCGCTGTGTGGGAAAACTGATTCACTACAGAGGCGTGGCATCTCCTCCCATGTGAGACTCTTGCTCTCCCGGTGCCTTAGGGAGGAAGTCTTACCTCAGAGTTTCTCTGTGTTTCACATCTCTCTCTGAAGAACTGGAGAGCACAACTCAGGTCTGAGGCTTCAGTCAGAACTGGATTGAGCTGGGATTGCATAATCTTGTTTTGTTCTGCTGCTGTTTAATTTTGTGGTGACCTCTTTCTCCATCAGTTTTTGGGGTTTTGTTTTGTTTTCTGTAGTGCTGGAGGCCAAGCTGAGGCCTTTTTCGTATTAGACAGGGGCTCAATCACTGAGCCCCACCCATGAGCTCTTCACTAACCACAGGAGACTGCATCCAGGCAAGATCTTGCCAGTGAGCTGTATGCCTAGGCCTCTCTTTTCCTACATTAAAAAAAAAAAAATTGAGACACAATCTCACTAAATTGTCTACACTGGCCTCTAACTCAACTGTATAGACAAAGCCAACCGTGAATGTACTATTCTTCTGCCTCAGCCTCTGGAGTAGATAGGATTATAGACATGTTCACCAAGCCTAGCTTAAAATGGACTTATTATTATTAGCTTTTTCGAGGCAAGGTTTCTCTGCATAGCCTTGGCCATCTTGGAACTCAATCTGTAGACCAGGCTGGCCTCAAACTCACAGAGATCTGCCTGCCTCTGCCTCCAGAGTGCTGGGATTAAAGGCGTGTGCCACCATGACTGGCTAATTTTAGCAGATCTTCCTTTCTCCGGGGACTCCTGTGCTCTTCCCACAGGTCTGTCACCACCCACAGCCTGCACGGGCTGTATCCAGGAGAGGACAAGGACCAGACCACCAGTGACCCAATGGCCACATGGAGTGATTAAGGGGGCATGGGACACACCATAGCACGCCTCTGCTGGTCCCTTCCTCCACCTCCTCTCCGTGTTCCTGGGAGGAAACTGGTGTCAGAGAGCAGAAGGAACTGCCTAGGGAAACACAAGAAACAGATGAGACTGAACCCAGGACAGTGTGTCCCAGAGCCACAAGCATCTTCCATTTCAGGAGCCTAGTGAGGCGGGGAAAGATGCCCGGGAAGCTCCCATCCCTCAGCAAGCATGAAGGAAGGGCTTTGCCTTCCTTCCCTGCAGGAGAAGAAGCTAGAAGGCTGCAGGGAGGAGCTGATCCTGACTGATTTTGTCTGGCTTTGGGTGACCTGGAATTACTACCAATCCCTCCCTAGACTCAGCTACACTATTTCTTATATCCTGGGTCTGTGATGTGTGTGGTGTACGTGGTGTGTGTGTGTGTGTGTGTGTGTGTGTGTGATGTGTGTGGTGTGTGTGTGGTGTGTGTGTGTGGTGTGTGTGGTGTGTGTGTGTGTTATGTGGTGTGTGTGTGTGCTGTGTGTGTGGTGTGTGGTGTGTGTGTGTGGTTGTGTATAGTGTGTATGTATGTGTGGTATATGTGTGGTGTGTGTGTGGTGTGTGTGTGTGTGTGTGGTGTGTGGTGAGAGTGAATGTGTGTGTGGTGTGTGTGTGTGGTGTGTGTGTGGTGTGTGTGGTATGTGTGTGTGGTTGTGTGTAGTGTGTGTGTGTATGTGTGGTATATGTGTGGTGT